CCATGCTATACTAAGCATAGCAGAGTAATTTAAATGAGGTATCATGGTTCTTTGTCGAATGGTACCGGCTGGAGTTACTTCACATAAAACAATTAAAAAATAATTTTTCACTGATGAGTGGGCTTCTTGATGGCCAGGGCCCTGTTCCATTCATCTTTGAATCTGTGTGTTAGGAGACGCTCAAAATATGGTGTGGGGCCCAATAGTTGACAGAACAAGTGTTCAGTTCCTGCTGTGCTAGGGAGTTAGAGTCAGTTCACAACCACAGGCTTAGGTTTTATTTCTGACATTCTGTGCCTCTCCGTAACACCTCAGTCCCTTCTGGGGGAACTAAGACCTTAACAGGTTAAGTGTCTTGAGAAACCAAGGTTTCACAGCTACCACGTGTTAGGGTCAGGATGAGTAAATGACAGGATGAAAATGACAGCTTAGGGAAGAGAAGTTTGTGTTAACTGCTGTGTGTCCAGCCCATGGCCAGGAAGCCCATCTCCTTCCTGCCCAGCCTCCTTGGCCCTCAGCTCTCTGGAGGGAGCTGCTCTATCCAGTAACCTGTCGTCCTTCTCTCTGTGGTATAGGTTGGCTATCAAGCAGGGAGCAATGGCCAGCCCCTTCCCTCGCAGTACATGAATGACCTGGACAGCGCTTTGGTGCCAGTGATCCATGGAGGGGCCTGCCAGCTCAGTGAGGGCCCCATCGTCATGGAACTCATCTTTTATATTCTGGAAAACATCGCATAGACAGAGGACTTCGTGTTTTTTTCCTGTTCCGACCTGTTGCAACAGCAGTCATACCAAGTCATTTGCACTTTAGAACTGGAAGATTAAGCTTTTGTTAACACTATTAGTTGGGGGTGGGGTGGGAGTGGGGTTTGGGGGACTACGGTGGATGGGGGGGGCAGATGTTCCATTAATTCTAAGTCTTCTATGCATTGTCCACCAGATCTGGGCAGCTTCCATTACTGCACCACCGTTATATTATTCTTGAAGCTAAATCCCCTTCTGTTCCTGTTTAAACAAGAATTCTGCTCCTGTTTTAAGACTTATTTATGGCCTTGTGCTCAGAAATGCTCAAATGGGTACAACCATCACCAAGGATGGGGTGGGAGGGCAGAGAGGAAATAAAATATGAAGCATCAGTCTTGTACTTTTTGTACAGAATTGATACAAAAAGGATCACACACGGATCTTGTTCCATTTACGTCACAGTAACAAGTAGAAGTCACACTTACGTTTTTGTTTGTTTTTACCAGATTACCCAACGGATTATTACTCTTCTAGCCAAGGAAGGGCACCTCAGTGTAAATGAGGCGATTGGATAGCAGAGCCAAGTTGAGGATTGCTCAAGATCTGCCCCACTGATTGGCAGGTACTGAATTGGGCCTTTCTGTGAAAGCTGACAATATACTCAAGGCATTTTTAGTTATAATGTACACTAGCTGTATTTTTAAAAACATTTTATTGAGAAATAATTTAAACTTCCAAGAAAGTTGCAAGTACAAAAAAACTCTATGTATGCTTTACCTAGATTCACCTATTGTTCACGTTAACACTTTCTCATTTGCATTATCAGTGTTTCTCCACAAAAAATGGAGACATTTGAGAGTAAGTTGCATAGCTAATAGCTCTTTACCCCTAAATACTTTAATGCTTATTTCCTAAAATTAAAGACATTCTCTTCCATGGCAGCAGGACAGTTCACAACTTTAGTCAATTTAACATTGATACACTAGCTACTTGACTCTAGAATCTGTCTAGTAGTGTCCCACATGGCTTTTCCTCCTCCTGTAAAGCTTCTAGCCTGGGATCAGATAAGGCAAATAGCTTTACTGACCCACCTGTATCTTTTATGTCCTCTATACTTTGGGTGAGTATATTCCCTCACCTCACTTTAAAAATTTGATTGGTATCTTTCCACAATTAGAATCAATTTATGCATTCTTGGCCAGAATCCTAAGTGATGTATGCTTTTTATATAGCCACCTGCACATCACTGATGAGGGTAAATTTTGGTCACCTGTTCAGTGTTGTCCAATTTCTCTACTATTTAACCCCTTGGAATGAATAACCAATGTATACAGACACTTTAAGGTCATGCAAATATCTTGCTCATCAAAATTTCCCTAAGATTTAGCATCCACGGATGTTTCTCATCTGAACTAATCTTTTACATGATGGCTACAGATTTTTCAATTCCAGCACTCCCTCCACCTTTACCAGTTGCACTTGGTCATTATAAGCAAAAGCTCTTCCTCCTATTTACTATTCACTTAATTTTCATTGTGGACTTGTGGATTCCATTTTGAATGGTTCTGACCCATTATCTGGGTACTCGAATAGCTCAGCTTTGGCCATAGAGCATGCCTTCAGGGTAGTTCCCCCATCCTTGTGAAATGCTTCTATCATTTTTTTTTTTTTAACACTTTGCTTTCTGGCCTAACAAGATTCTCCACGCTCATCTAGTGCTCACACTGCCCCAGCCTTGGATCAGCCACGGTTTCTTTTAGTGGTGTTGGAAACCAAGTTTTGTTTTATCCGTGATATATGAGATATAGTCAAAGTGCTTTCTTTTTCATTAAAATTTATTTTGGTCACAGACCTAATGGTTTCACGCCCTAAAGTTTGAAAAACACGGCTCTAAGGTAACTCACTCTTACCGCTGTCACCCTCTAAGAGCCCAGGCCAAGCAGCGACGGTCCCTCTGCTACAGGCACAGCTCCACGAATCCTCTGGAAGCTAACGCAGGCCTCTGGGAAGTGAGAGGCTGCTTCCCAGTGGTTAGCGCTGGGCTTAGCACTTGGCAATTAAAGGCTGTGGGGCTATGTTTAGGCAGCCCACAGCCTGGCCTTCACTTGGAAGTATGTCCACCTGTGTTTATCCCGTCTCCATGGCGGTGGTGGTGGATCTATTCTGTACTCTCTCTCCATAAGCTTTGCTGGTGGTGGCTGCAGAGTACCGTGATTGTAACCTTTTCCCAGACTCAGAGGCACCCAGAGCTTCTAAGGGAAAAGAGTAGATGCCACCCAAAGAATACCAGCATGCACTGAGCCTTGGGACCACACATCCCTCCAAAACCTGGTAGGAATATTTCATAGGGCAGGGATTTGAGGTATAACATCCAACTTGGTCTAAATATACCTTGGAAGTTTAGAGCTTCTACAAACTCTGGTCCCATTTTTTTCCCCACAGAAATTTATCTTTCCTCCTGTTCAGTTAAATATACCTTGCAATTGTACCTATTTCTTCTGGATCAGTGCAAGCTTTTAAATTCTTCCACTGAGGACAGACTCTGGTCCTGCAGAGTCAGGTCCATTCTCAATTTGCATAAAATATCTTGTGGAATGGGGCATAATAGAGCCAAGGCTAGTTTACCACCCCCCGCCCAACTGTTTTATCTCTGTATTATACACTGTATATTGTAAGAGGCATATAAAGTAGAGGGCTGAAATATCACATTTCTAAATCTGTCAAATTTTTCTAGAACATAAAACTTAAAGACTGGCATATAGAGATCCTTATAAACTGAAGAGGGATAGGGTTGCCATTATGGTAACATCAAATTTTAAAAATTATTGCATTCTTACCAAATGCTAGACAAGGTATTTCTCCATTTATTTTTATCAAACTTTCTGAGCACCTACTGGGCCCTAGAAAGATAGGACGTTACCTTGTGTAAGTTCCCACCTAATATCTTCCCTCATCCAGTGGTTCCTGAATGCTGGTGGGCCCACCATTTCCAACCAAATTTACTTGTCATAATTAGTCATCAGGGGAGCAATTTATGCATTTAATACATTTCATGCAATAATCAATCTGCTGAACACTTTTTATATTAAGTTCTATTTTAATAGTAATGTTAAAATAATTTAAATAGTAATGGGAATTTTAGGAATTGTACACGTAGCCTGAAAGGCTAAGGAGTGGAGCAGGATGGATGCCCACTCTGGAGTTTGGGAAGCTGAGGCCATGGGAAGAGTCCGTGGGAAGATTCTTGGAGCTGGACCAGGCACAAACTCCCTGACTCCACCAGCCTCAGTCCCACGGTTTCATCTTAAATGGAGCTGCCTATTTAAGGGGCAAGATTTTTGAGAACTACCCACAAAATTCAGAAAACAAGCTCTCAACAATGGTGGCGTAAAAAAGGAAAATAATGTTAAAGTCACAAAATAGTTTGCCTTTGTGAACAAGACTTCCTAAGGAAAATTTCTTCTGTATTTTTGTTCAGTTCACTAATTCAGAAGAAAGTATGCCTTGCACTAGATTAAAGAGGGAATTTACAATTTAAAAATAATTTGGGTCATGGCAGCTTCTCTGCCCCCGAATCCCTGATCTGTTCGGTTGCTGCATTTGGACAAGTCTCAGGATAAGACGAGGCTGGGCAGGCTCCCCCCACTCCCAGTGACCGGCATGCCTTGGCTGCAACAAAGGCCCTTTCAGAAAGAGCCTCAGTCTCCCAGTCCAGTGGGTGCTTTGTCTTGCCTCCCTCAGCCTGGAGGTTTTGTTTTTCAAAAGCAAAGAGCAGGGAAGGAGCCGAGAACTGACCAAGCTGCAAAGGGAAACCCGTGAGGCACAGAACACTTCCTACAGATTACAGTGGCGTTTCCAGTGGAGGCCTGAGGTCGGGAATCCGAAGGTGGTTGGAGCCTCTGAGGGTAACCACAGCTGTCCTGGCCCTCCTAGTAAGCACTGGTTGCGGTGCAAACCCTTCTTTGCTCGAGGCCATCTTAGGAAGGCTAACAGCCCTTCTTTTCATTCTAGATCACTGCTGCTTTGACACACGGATGTAACTACAAATGTTAAATTTCACATCTGTAGAAATTTTGGTAGTTTACTCTGATGGCCAAGTCAGTCTGGTCACAAAGCTCTTGGAAAAAAGTCGTTTGTCTGTCCTTCCTGCTGTTACCCTCTAAAAGATTTGCTACTAAGGGCAAGAAAGCACGGTCCAGCCCTATGTCAGAAAAAGACACACACAAACAAAAACTCAATCCCTGAGCTGTGCTTACACAGTGCTGTGGTGACCAATAAGCTGAATGTATCTGCTTCACTTAGAGCCTTTAAAAGATGACCTCAAGGAATGCTTTGTACAACTTAAGCTAATGCTAAAAAATGGGTGTGGGGAGAGGGAATGGGATATTAAAGTTTATTTCTAAGAAATGTAGAATACTGCAGTTTTGAATATTAAACCTATTGCAACTACAAATCCCTCCGTCTCCATCCATTCAGAAAAAGCCAAAGGAGAATTTCTTGGGGAGAAATAAGGGATTTCCCTCGGTGATCAGCCAAAGAGGCAAGGCTTCCTCTGCCCTCTCTCAAAGGAGAAAGCCACAGCAGCCGTTTCTTCAATTAAATGTTACTGCTACTCGGGCTTTTAAAAAGTGATAGGACCTTTGTTTAGGATTTTGATGGTTACTCTGCGTGTAGGGCATAAAACCCCTGTAAGTGAATTAGACATAGTTTCTTAAAAAGTTACATACATTTTTGTGTCATTTCCACCGTCCCCCCTCCCCCCAGTTAGCAGTCTTTTTGTGTTAGGTGCACAGACTGAACCCAAGATACAGCCTTGCCTACTTCCCACCATATAGTCCAAAACATCACTTCCTTCCTCCACCGAGAGCGTGGGGACTAGTGCAGCAGCTGTCAGGAAACAAGGCACAGGCAGACGGGCGTAAACCGAGCTGTGGCACAGGCCACCACTGACACCGAGTCACGGAACCTGCCCGACCCCAAGCCGGGGCATTTCCAATCTCGGGTTCTCCCATCCTTTACAGATAGAGCTTTTAAAGGCACATTCAGAAATGTTGCAACTAGAGGCTGGGGTAAGCTGCACACAGTTGCTACACAGGGGTTCAGGGGCTGCAAGACCCCATGGCACAGAGCAATGAGGCTTTCCTTGCTTTTGCCCAGAGGGAAGGGGAAGCAGCCTCCTGGAATCCAGCCTCGGTGTGGAGGCCTTCCTAGGAAGGAGCCAGCAACAGGAGAGACCAGGCCGTGGTCAGTAATGCATGTACGTACAGGTCTTTGGTGTTTGTGTAGCAGCAGGTAGCTCCCTCATGCACAAAGGCTTCTGTAGCCAGCACAGCTGGGGAAAGTATGCTTCTGCACACAGCCTGGCCCGACTCCTCTCCCAGCGTTGACTGTCTGAAGCACAGGCACAAAGCACAGGCAGTAAGTCTAAACTGCAATGAACACACACAGAGTTTGGAAAGGTTTTCCTGAAAACAGACCTGGGTTTAACTTCCCTCCTAGGGTCTACTGAGGATCCTAAGAAACTCAGGCCAAGCCCTACCCAATAGTTTTGCCTTTTGATCATCCTCACAGATGAGAACTTCTGAGGCTTTCTCCCCCATAGGAGCTGTGTACTGGAAGTGCCCTGTGGGCCTGGGCAGAGAGCAGGGGTGGAGGTTCTGAGCGTCCAGAGAGCTGCCCACCTCACAGGCCCCTAGGCTCCAAGACCAGCCAGTTCTCGGTGACCATCTGTATGTCCTGGCCACTCAGAGGCTCCCGCAGCCTCACCTTCACCTCCAGCTTGCCCCCAGTGGGCTTCCTTCCATCCAGGACCTGAGGATCACAGAGAGGGAGATGGTAACTGATGGGGACGGGCTGGGAGCAGGCAGCTCCCTATGCTCACAGGTAAAGAATGAGGAGCTAAAACATTCTGTGGTATCAACATAGGAGTCTCTACTTCATGACAACCCTGGTGGTGGATCCAGAGAGCGGCCCACCTCACAGGTAAGTCTCACCAGAAAGAAGTAATATGTCAATCCAAGTTAGAGTTCTCGCTCAGTTTCCCCATGGAAACTCCTGGGAGAAATTCTCTGGCTTAAAGGTGCAGCCGGAATAACCACAGCCCAGACCCTTCCTTCACAGCTGGCCGAGAGTGGATGTTCTATTAACAGCCAGTGTGGCAAGGCCAGGACTAGAACCCAGGCCAGGGGTTCCTTTCTACCCCCATGCTGCCTCCCTCCTGGGCAGGAAGGGGGAAGCTGGTGTGCAAAGCAGTGAGTGCTGCAGCCTTGAGAAGCCTAACTACCAATGTGGCCAATGCAGAGCCCTTAATAAAACCCCAGGAAAGGTGGCGGAGGGGGGTAAGTGCGCCGTACTGGGAAAGCCCCACTGACGAAGGCACCAGCAAGGGTCTTGGCCACATGCTGCTGAGGACACCCTACTCTCCGGAGCTCAGTTTCCTCATGTCAAAGGCAAGCTCTTCGAGTCACTGCCTGTGAAATCTGATGAGTTCATGGAAGCTTAAGGAGCTGTCTGGGGCCAATTCCTTAACAATCTGGCTTCATTGTGGCGGGTCCCAGGTGGTAAAATACCTTATCAACTTTATGTCCAGAGTTTGTTTCATTCTGTCAAGCTGCCAGACTACTGCCCAACCATAACTGTCCTTCTGTATCCAGGAGTTTGTATGTGCCAAGGTGACAGCAATGACTGGGCCCTGCCATCCACCATCCCTGGGAACTTGAGCGGCCCAGAGTGTCATGGAAAGAACATAGCTGCTTTCTGAAAGGGTGATGCTATAAAGTTTTGTCAGACCCTCGGAATCTCAGTCTGTAAAATGGGAATAGCACCTATTGCACAGCACACTTCTGGATGTTTTTAATGGACTGATGCTCAGTGAACGTTGGGCTTTACTGGCCAAGCCCTCTGGTTTTCCCACCCTACCTCTGCACTCTGGGTCCTACCTCCAAAATCTCTCTGATCTCACACTCGTGCTCCAGCCGCTCCAGTTTCAGGTGGGCTGTGCCGACCAGCTTGTCACTTCTGAAGAAGGATCTGGGGAACCAAGGGTCAGCAGAGGGTTGGACTGGGCAGGGAAAGCAGGAACGAGCTGGCTGAGACCAGCACAAGAAGACTGAGTAGTAGCAGGGATGGCAGCAATGGAAGCCTTTCCTTCCTCCCAGCCCTCCCTCGCATTAGGACTGACAGGGGGCTCACCCTTTGTGGAGGATTTCAAACTTGATTCCTTTGCTTTGGATCACCCTTCTGAAGCCCCGGTGGTTTCGGTTGATGTTTAATTTGAAGAGCTGATCAAATTCTGCAAGAGAGTAAGAGGAACTTGGCTACCAGGGATTTCCTGAGGTGGTGGCAACAGGCCTGGGGGCTGATCGCCCCTCTGGATCATTCTGCCTGTAATTCAGGGAGACGACCACCAGAGGGTGGTAGAGCCTAGGTCCTGGCCTTGCATATCCCCTTGGACAGTTCTTGTGCTCTTAGACACAGATTTTGCTCAAATAGGAGGGACATGGAATTTGGAGTCACGATTGCATTCCCACTACTTTTGTGCTTGGAGGCCATAGGCAAGTCCCTTTTTCTCCAAGCCTCAGTTTCCCCAACTACACAAGAGGAGTGGTAATACCTGCCTTTGTCTCCCAAGTTGAGTACCAGATAAGATAATAGATCTGGAAACACAAATGTTGCACATACACATATCAGAGAATGAGGGAGGAGAAAGCAGCGCTCACCTGGAGAGTTTGTGTTCTTCACCACCGCTGTTTTGCTTTTTTGAGCCTGGTCCTAAAGCAGTAAGAAGGAGAAGTGCGGGCAGCTTGAAAAAACAGGTCTATTGGGCCAAGTCGGTGTTGAGGGAAGGGACGCCTATAGATCTTCAAACCCCTCCCTATAACCAGACCTTCCAGGGACTGGGAGAAATTGAGCACCAGGTCCCCGAACAGAAGATGGGGTTCAGAGGATCCTATCTCTACCTGAACCTCACCGAGTTAGGGTAGTGGAACTCAAACCGCACAAAAGCATCCAAGTCATCAGGGGTCACCCCTATAAAGGAGAAATGGGGGTCAGCACCTGAGGTGGAGGGGAGCCAGTGCCTCCCATTGGCTGGGGTACAGTGTCTAGGCAAGAGCCTCCTGGAGTCGGGGTGGCCCTAGGGCTACCTGGAGGAGCTGGGAGGTTCATTCCCCGGACAATGATCAGATGCATTTCTGTGCTGTTGAGTTCTGAGAAGATCCTATAGCCAGGAAGCCAGGAGAGAGAGCCCAAAGTGAAGTCATGCAGTGGGAAAGGGTCCCCCTCCCAGGAACTGCCTGCCTGCCAGGTAGTGCTCAGGGACAGGGGGTGCAGGAATAGAGGCACAGCTCGTCTGGGCTAGGAGCAGCAGAGCTGGTACGAAGACCTCGGTCTAGAGCTCCTTCCTCAACCACCACAGCTCTGAGCTCCTCACAGGCAGGCACCACGCCCAACCTCCCACATCCCTAGGCCCAGTGCCTGTGGCAGGACCACGCCCGGGAATTCTTACTAAAGGGGCCCAAGTCCCCAGCCTTGGCCCCCAGCCTCTTGGCCCATCCCTACATGGAGCCACCGTCTCAGGCTTTGGTACCTCACAGTCTGGAATGTCTTCAACTCAAAGTGGTGGCTGGGAGGGTCGAGGCCCCGAGCCTGGGCCAGCTGTAGGATCTCAAGCTGTTTCTTGCGGTCCTGAGCAAGCTTCTCAAACCTGACAGGGACAGGTGCGCACGTTAGCTCAACAGGCCCCTTTTCTGCTCCCTGCCCCACGTGCCCAGCCCTGCATTTACCGGGTCGTCTCGGCCACATTGCCCTGGTGCATAAGGCCCCGAGCCTGGGCAAGCTTCTCAAACCGGGTCGTCTCGGCCACATTGCCCTGGTGCATGAACTGCTTGGAGAACAGCAGACACTTCTGAAAACAGAGGCCCAGAGTGGGTCTAGGTCGGTTTTAGAGGCCTGACTTCTGAAAGCTCCAACCTTCTCCTATAGTCTCACCCCTCTCCTCCCCCAACACATACCCTCCCCAAGATCACTTTCCAAGTCCCTAAGTTTTTGCTGTTTTCTTTCCTGATGATAGCCACACCCGAAAATTCAATTAGCACACTCCTATTTTATTACCCAAATTATTTACTACAGAACAATATCTTATGGTTTTTTGGGTTGTTTTTTTTTTCCATAAATCACAATAATAATTGTGCAAAACCTAAGAGAAACATCATTTCAAAAAGTAGACTTGCTGGCAGCAGTTCAAATCGATATGTGCAAATATACATATATGTCTATTTTCCTATATACATATATGTATATGTGTCTCCTAACACTTCCTCCGATCTTCGAAGTACTTTCCCCTCCAGCCTGTTGTCTGAACTTCATAACCACCTGGGATATTAACCATCTCATTTTACAGATGAAAATGTGGTGCAGAGAGGGGAAGTGTCTTGTGCCAGGTCAACAGCCAGTGGAAGAGGCACAATTTGAAACCAAGCCTCCCTGGTCTGAGCCTCATGCCTTTCCCCAAAGGGAGGCTGTGGGCACTGAAGGGAAGAGGGACAGCAGTCAACTGACCTCATGCTGCTCCAGAAGCATTTTTTGTAGCTGAGCGTACACTTCCTCGGCCTTCTGGGAGAGGCGCAGGTCCTCATGGTGAATGAGGATAAAGTCACCCTCCTCATCCGTCAAGGGTGAAGGCACCTGCCATGGTCACACGCCCCTCAGGGGCGCCAAGAGTCAGATTACCCCCCTACTGGCCCAACGGACACAGGAACCCAAACTGGATGGTTCCCCAGCTTCTAACCACCAGCGTTGGGAACTCACTGCCTCCCGTCTTTCCCAGGCTGCCGAGATGCTCTGCCTCCCACTGGCTTGTCATCTCTGACCACCGGCAGCCCACCTGGCCTTTCCTGGCCTCTCTGGGGGCCATGGGGCCGAGACGCATAAGCAAAAGGCTTTTCCAGGTGTCACCACATCCTATCCCAGGCCCACCTCTCAGGTTGGCTGGAGGACCTCAGGGAAGGTATGGCTGATGGCAATGGACAGTGGCGTCCAGGCAGCTGCCTGGTTCACAGCCCTGCTGTCAAGCCTGCCACCTGCCTCTCTGCCTGAGAAGTCCTGCTTAACCAGGAGGGACTCACCTTGGCGAGGTCCACAGGTCTGCCGGCTCGGACCTGGATGATCTGAGCCTCGAGGCATTTGGCCAGACGCAGGTGAGCTTTGGCCTGTTCCAGGTCCTGGCCACGCTTGGCCTGCAGGGCTGCCCGCTGGTACTGCAGTTTGCGGGCCTCTAGCAGTGCCAATTGCTCCTGCACTGAAGGGAGAGTGATGCTGGTTAGAGCCATGCCTGCCCCTCACTAGAGCCTTCAGTCCCCCACCCTTCTTCTCCCCAACTCACCAGAGGCACTCAGTGACTCCTTAGAACTTGAGGCCTTGGGCTCAGGCAGGGGCCGGGAGGAAGACACCAGAGGCTTCTTAGATACTGGGGCCTGGGTCGGAGGCTCACCCTGCAGGTGCCCAGGAGGAGGTCACAGGGGATCTGCTCCCCACCCGGCCGCAGCAGCTTGGACTCTTGTTAGTATTGCACTAACTTGCTGTGTGAACTGAGATGAAGGGCCTCCCCTTGTGGGCCCTACAGAACCTCAGACCCTCTGAGCTAACCTTCCCAACAGCAGACAGGAGGGTGTTAGGGACAGAACATGGGCTCTGGAGTCAGAAAGACATCGTTTTGAATCTAGCTCTGACAATGCCTATCTGGGTGCCCTTGGCCAAGTTTTTTCTCTGTAAAATGGACAACAAGGTCTGCGTTGACCCCTCATCTGCTACCCCCGCCCCATCCCTGGAGTTTTGGGCCCTCAGCCAAACCTCATCCTCATCCCCGTCTTCCTCTGCGGGGGCTGTTTCCTCGGAGGAGGCCAGTTTCTGGGCAGCTGCTAAAGCAGCCGCTACTGCATCCGCCTCAGTGCCTGTGATGGGCTCCAGACCAGGGATGGGGGGGAATCCTGTAGGGGAGAGAGAGCTGCCTGAGGGCTGGGGTGGCCTCTGTGGGCTCAGCTGGGTCTTCTGGGGCATGGCTGGGATGGGTGGCTCCCACAGGTGGAGGCAGCTACCGGAGAATCATTTCCCCTCCTCCTCAGAGATTTCACAGTGACCCTAGGCCAGCCGTGGGCAAACTAATGCCCGCAGGCCGGAGTTTGAAATGAATAAAACTAAAAAAAAAAATGGATCCGGCCCGTTTGAAATGAATAAAACTAAAAATAAAAAAGACCGTATCCTTTTATGTAATGATGTTTATTTTGAATTTATATTAGTTCACACAAACACTCCATCCACGCTTTTGTTCCGGCCCTCCGGTCCAGTTTAAGAACCCATTGTGGCCCTCGAGTCAAAAAGTTTGCCCACCCCTGTCCTAGGCCAAGCACCACTTACCAGGAGGAACAGGCAACTCAGCAAAATCAACTTTGCGTCCTGCTCGGTGTGCTCGCAGGGCATCTTGATATTGCTGCGAGGGAAAGAAGGGAGGGGCTATTGTAGCCGCAGTGTGCAGGCTCCCACAGAGACCAAGAGGAAGACTGAAAGCAGCCCCAGGAGGAAAAAGAGCCCCTGAGGCAGCAACAGCTTGAAAGAGACAGAGAGATGGAAACTCTAGCTGCAAGGGCAGAGAGCAGACAGCCAGAGAGGGGCCGACATAGGCGGGTTTCACAGCTGCAGGCCCACCTTGGCAATGCGCTCGTGCATCCGGGCCTTGCGCTCATCCCCACTGGCCCGGGCCTGGGTGCCTGCCTCACAGTACTTGTTCAGCCTCTGCTGCAGGGCGTCCAGCACCGTCTGTGGCTCAGCAGGGGCCACTTGAGAGGAGGAAGGAGATAGCATCAGCCCTGCCTACCTCTCCCCAGTCCCCACTCCACAGTCCCACCATCCCATCCATCCTACCTGGGGTTGCTGGGGTGTCAGAGGCCATCACTGGCTGCACTCGCTCCACTGCTGGGGGTATGACTGTGGGTGCCTTGGAAGCCTGTGGGAGGGGCTTCAGGTCTGGGGGACCCAGAGCAGAAGTATAGGTGGGGGTGCCCAGCCAGTCCCAGCCTGAGCAGGTTCCCTCCACCATCCCCATACTGACCCTCAGGCGCTGGGGGCATGGCACTCAGGTCCACAGGCTGCCCCTTCTCCAGGGCCTCCAGGACGGCACCAAATCTCTGCACAGTAGTAAGCAAAGCAGGTGTGGTCATAAGCCAGGGAATCTCAAGAGCCTGGGCTGAAAAAAGTCCCCCCTCAAGCCCAGTCTAGCTTCGTGACCATGAGCAGGCCACTTACCCAACTGTGAAACGGGCTGGACAGAGGGCCCCTGAGCCAGATGTCATACCTTCCCAATCCTCATGAACTCTCGGGCGCGGTCTAGGTCTCCAGCCCGCTTGGCACTCAGGGCAGCCACTTTGTACTCTCTTTGTCGGGCCAACAACAGGGCCCGTGGGTCTGGGTCTGAACCGGGCGGGGCAGATATGCCAGGGCTGCCCACGCTTGTCTCAGGCTGAGAAGGGCTGTCTATGGAGAAACAGAAACAAAGAAGAACGTGCACACCTTGGGCTGCCGGCACCCACAGGGGAGGTGTGACTCTGGCCATCGACTGGTGGGACGGGGAAGCAGGCCATGCCCTGACCTTGGGAACCAGAACAGGATGTGAGTGTCTCCTAATACCTTGCAACATGGTGGGGGGGCTGGGAAGGTCTGCATCAGGGCTCCTGTTGGTTGTTTCCTGAGCGGCCGGGGATTTCTTGCCCAAGGCCACTGGAGGTGGGATCTCCTCCTCATTGATCTTCCTGCCTTTCCTCACAGCAGCCAGCTGGGCCTCTAGGGTCTGGGGGAGAGAAACAGAAACCCAGCCGGACCCTTCACCTCCGTCAGGCGAGTGGGGAGGCCTCCCCCAATTACTGCCCAACCTCCCGCTGCCCTCAGCCCCACCCCTCCCAGCCCTGCTCCCTGGCTGGGCCCACCCTACCTTTAGGCCGCGCTCACAGCGCCTGGTTTTGGCTGCTTCACCTGCCTCCTTGGCGCTGGCCGCAGCCTCCCGGTAATTGCGGATCCGATCTTCCAGCAGAGCCTGCAGCCCCTGAGGCCCTCCGGCCTGTAGATACTCCAGCTCAGGGCCTGGCCACTCCAGGGCCAGCTAGGCCCTTGCTGCTCCCTCCCTGCAACAAAGCTGCCCCAGAAAGCAGAGCTCTTGGGTTCAAGGAGGAGCTCCTCAAAGCCTCAAGGAGGAGGCAAAAGGCACCAGCAGAGGCAAGCACAGAGGCCCAGACCAGCTGGGAG